ATATGGATGTTAAATCGAAGCTCATCAAAAGAAGATTAATTTGATATATTACATATGTAAAACTGATAAAAAATACAAAAGTTATTAACTTTTAAAATACATATACAATTAAATAGTTATAACAAAGAATGATATTAAAATGCAATTAATTAATATAACATGACCATAAATAATCAACATATTTATGGTAATCCGAACCTAATTATTTTTGGTTTGGAATTAAATTAAAATTTACCCAAGCCTAATAACGAAGCATGTAATTTTGCCACATAGGATTCCGAAGCACCAGAAACAACCACGTAGGCTCAGCGCGTTCTGGATTAATATATAGGGGGATAATCTAGGTTCGGACATTCCATAAATATTATTTAGCCAATTTAGGTATTTTAATATCACTTTTACTAATATAACCCTTTAATTCTTTGTAATTTTAGATAATGAGGCATTAAGTGACTAATATATCCCTGACTTTTGATTTGATTCCTTCAATTATCTATTGAATTGTAAATGTATTTTAAAAGTTGATAATTTTTGTATTTTTTATCGGTTTTACATATATAATGATCTTGTTTGACAATTAGCTGTTAGCTGTTAGCGGATTGTATTGGTTGTTTTGACCAGCGGATTGTGTCAGCTGTTTTGACCAGCAGATTGTATTAGCGGTTTGTAAAATAGTGTTTGGTAAAATTAGATGTTTATAATTAGTTGTTAATTTGTAAAATTGCTTATAAGGATATTCATATATTTTATCATCTTACTTGTGTCAAAATTACTTAGAATATTAGTAATAACTATATTTTTAATATTATGTAAACTAATTCAAATAATATATTAAATATTTGTAAAAAAGTGTTTGATATTTATGCAATTTTATATCATATGTTAATGTGTACAAATATTCATTAGGATATTTATATATTTTAATAATTTTTATGTTACATTAGTATTTATTTTGAAAATATATATATATTTTTTTTTTTAATTTTTAATATCTACTAAAAGAGTAGCATAGCATACTATAATTAAGCACCAAATAAAAGACTGAATATTTGTAAGATGCTTGTAATTGTTTGGGCGTGTGTATCCATCTGTCACCAATAACCTTCTTAATAATTAATAGACAACAAAATGGAAAGTAACTTGAATTATTTTTTTGAAAAGCTATATTCAGACGCTAAAACACGCAGCGTTTTTTAAATTAGTTTTTTCATCTAAAAAGCTAATGAAACATCTATTTACCAAATATCATATTTATCTATTTACCAAATATCATATTTAGCTGTTAGATGTGGTCAAACAGCTAAAGTGCACCGAAAAAGCTAAAAGTTGAAGAAAAAGCTATTTACCAAACATAGCCATTATATATCAAATTAATCATCTTTTGACGACCTTCAATTTGACATCCATATTATATATATGAAATAAATAAATTATAGGGTCAAAATCTTTTTCACCCCATTATAAATCTATTCTTTCTTTTACACACCGCCACATCAAATAACTTCTTTTACACCCCAAAACTCACGAAATGTTGTGCGATATTACAGTCGCATGTCCAAATGAACCAGCGCATATCCAAGCGGACGCATAATTTATGACTATG